TGCTATATTGTAATACTCCTATCTTGCGGACACTCGTGGCTACGCTTCGCGTCGCCACTCGTGCCACAAGATAGTCGTATTACAATAGGTCGCATTGTAACACTTGTCTTTCAATATACTATTATGCACTCATTCGTTCTAAGTCGCGTTTTCCCAATAAAACACGAACGTCGGGAACGTCAATTTTACAATTGACTATCTACTTTCGCGCACTAGTGCCTAAAAATTCAACGAAATTATCTATTTAGTGCGGATCATAAACTAATAAGTAGCATGATGGAAGAGTAAAAAAGAAAATATAAATACACTTTACATCATTCCCTGTAGTACAGGGGTAAAAATAAGCTTAAACCAGAAGTTTTTAACAATAAATTGACATTTTAAATTTCTACTTTATCGGCATAGAGGACTTGATTTTTTCAATAGAATTATAATGTCGCAAAAATCTCGCGAAAAGGATTTGAATTTATATAAATTCGATTTAACTAATCCGTGCAAAAAATAGAATACATGTTACGTGCGTGAACAGTATTTGCTTGATTCGCGCGAGATGCGTCGTTAAGCTCATCTTCAAAATAACTGTTCCCGCACTAATAATGTAAATAACTATTCCCTAAATTCATTTATTAGAATTGTAAGGATATGAATGCGTCTATTTTTAAGAAGTGGAAGCGTTTGAGAAGAAACACTTTTTATCAAATAGTGCTTTCTGTCGGTCGGTCTACTTAGGTATCTTCAAAATCCCCCCCCACTAAAAAAATGTTCTTAATATTCCTAAACAAGGACAACAAGTATTTATGTGGACTCAATACTTAGGTACCTACCAGGTTCTTTGAAGATTTAAAATATGAATTACGTGACACATTGTTACATCTATGGCGCTCAGTATCACCAGTTTTACTCAGAAATATTTATATATATCAAGATATGATCGGCATGACAACGTTGCAAAATACCCATGTCGTCAGGCAAATTGATAACTTAATTCGTCCAGACTCCAGAGACCAAAAGGAAACATTTGTCAAGCTTTTAATTGCTAATGAATTAAATAGGTGCATGAAAACCAGCGTCTGGAGGTCACATTTTTATATGACTGACCACTAGTAAATTATTAATGATTTTAATAGATTTTAAAAATAAGTCTGTTCTGGTCGAGCGACAAATTCATTTAGAGACGTAATAACGACGAAGAGCGGAAGGAGCCAGACTGGAGGAAATCGAGAGTGGCGTGGTGACCTTCAGCTCGCGGAAAGTCGCGAGAGTCGATGAACTAGTGACCGGGGGGCTGCGGACCAGCTTCTGCATCTTGACTTGCACTTTAGTTAGACAAACATATACCTATGTAGGTAGGTATAGGTATGCGCACCCAATAGTCATTTTTTTCATTGGTGAAAGATTACAATCGGAATTTAAAACGTATACCTACTCTTCCTCTTTTGCTTCTGTTGTAACTAATTGTTACTGGACAAAATTCAAGGCAATCGTTCATTAGAATCGCCCAGTCTTGGTTGCATTGAAACATTAAACTAGTGGCCTAGAAGTTAGAGCGGCATCATGGAATGTCTAGGATAGGTCAGTTCTTTATTTACACGTCTCAGTCCGGTTTAGTCTAGCTAGTATATAGAACCACCCAATCGTTTAGACGTGTTTGTTTGGCTGGCTAAGATTGCATACAAACAAATTTCCTAAACAATGAAACAAAGAAACGGCACCAACCTGCAAAAATACCATAAACTGCGTAAATATACTCTAACGAAATTTATTGGGTCTACTTATCTTGCAAGTACGTCAAAATAATTATTTCTTATCGCAAAAATTATCTAGCATGGTAATAAGTAGATCCGACCTATCTCAACTTGAGCTGTTTTTTCATGTTATATTTAACACCCATGTTTACAATATTAAGAAAAAACAAGGTCCGAGGTGATAATCGCCGAATAAAATTACAAAAACAAGTAGGATAATTTTTTGTGCAATTCTAATTTGCTAACGACTGAACAGAATGGAAGTTTTTGGGTGTAGGTAATTGTTTAATAGTGTGGTTTATTTATTAGAGCAATTACACCAAATGTGTATCGCCTTGAACCTGTCCTTATTTTGAAAGTCGATTAGGTACGCAAGGTAAATTGAAAGCTCTGAAATGGCGAATATTATGTATAGAATAAGAAAAATTCATGAAGTAATCGAAAAAAATCTGGATTTCGCTGATTTCCCTCGACAATAACGGAGAAACTTTTCACACGAAGTTGTTAATAAAATGGGCGGATTAAATGAAAATTTTTGCCACAGTAATTTTAGCTATTTTTGGTAGGTAGCTACTCGTATCAAACTAACAAAACTATATTTTCGTTCCTCTTATAAGTACCGTTGCTATAAATGTATCAAGTCGATAAATGTATAATGGCGTTGCAATGCTCCCAGTCAAATTAAAGGGAAATTATGCATTTTCTATATTCTATATTCTATATTCTATATTTCGTGATGTGATACAATGGATCGCTAAGCAAAACTGTATGCAGCAGCATGAAAAGCAAGTCAATTCTTCTTAGTCAGAAGGGATAAATAATTGCCATACAACCAAATTTCGTATAAATTTCAAAAGAAATATGTATATGTTAACCAAGATAAAGTAACTTTTGATAATAATTTAATTAAAGGGAATCAGTAACGTGGTTTAACTATATACGTAGATAACATTCACCTCAACGGATAGGTCATAGGTCATGGTTGTCTGCCTAAACATTATTAATTGACCTCTAAAGGACATCGCCGTATTGAATTCGCATTAAAATTTCATCATTTCGGACAGACATTATCGAGCAGTTTTCGAAAGAATGTGGAAAAATGACAGTAATCGCTTCTTCGTGCCAAATGGTCATTCGGCCATTGATACCATTTTTCTAAACGGACGTTTTTATTGCGCAGTATTTTTAACCGATCCAGACGATTATATGCTAAAACAATTCTAATGGATTTACTCATCTTTATGCAGGTCCTAATCGAACATCATGTGTTTCAACCGTGAAGACAAGACGAATGTTGTGAATTAATAAACAGTGAATTTGCGCAATTTATGTGTTGCTAACCTAGCCCAACTTTGTGGGCCTCGTCACAAATACAATTACGTCACGTGGCCCCGATTTAGACTTAAAACTAAAATATCGCCCGCGATAACTGCGCGCAAAAAGCCACTAATAAGTGGGCAGGGCATATTTGAATTTAACCCGTTGTTTGTATGCTCCATAGTTTGTAAACACGCATTACATCTGTAATGTTATGTATACCACACAAAACAATTTCTACACATCAGCAACTATTGTAGATTGTTATCTAAAAATCTTAGGGAGTCCTTTAAGAAGTTGTTCCTAGATTTTTGCTTTGAGCATGACCATGATCCAAAAGTATGTACCGATAAGAGAAGTTATATCAATCGCACAGGTGTACCGATAATGTACCGAACCCATACACCTAAAAGTTGGGGGGTACATTAATAAAAATAGAAATTGGCAAACCTTCAAAAACAGGACGTCGAGTTAGAAAACGAAAGTGGCAACTATTTTGACTAGAAACCGACCGAATTCTGACATTGGGAAAGGTCAGGTTTACGTAACCCGACTCACTTTCTTCAACAACGGACGCCAATAACACAAAATTGCTTTGTTCTTCCCGAAGTTACTGTCCTACAAGGTGATAAGTGCAATGTCGGCGTGGAATGTGGAAACTAAAATTAGATTAAGAAAAATGTTCTTGGCATTTCTCAATACGTAAAATTTAGGGCAGGTCAAATAAACACCAAATTTTTTCAGATATAATGAAGGCGGGTTGCCATGGTTTAAAAAACGATGGGAGAACGTACGATAGAAAAAAAATTGATATTGAAATTGCAATTTGCAACTTATCTAAATCAATTAAAAATAATACGTAAATAATAGCGATAAAACTACCAGTGGAAACCGCTTTATTAAATATATGGCTGGAAGTTTAATATACCCCACGTCGAAATTACGCCAATTACTATTACTATTCGAATCAAATATCTCTTGCATGTCAGAATGTGGAAAATTCTACAATTTTGACGTGTAGTGGCAAAATACACTCCCTACAGAACGGCCGAAGATCGAAGTTGGCCAAAGCAACAAGCACATTTTTAAGAATTTTATTTGTGAACATAATTTTAGTACAAATAGAATCCGTATTTTTATCAAATATATTTGTCGGTATTTTATTTCGGTTCAACGCGAGATGCCTGTACGTGTAACAGTATATAAAAAGAAAAGAAAAAGGCGCATTTAAACGAAATTATTTTCATTTACTTCTACGCGAGCAAAACAAATGATTATTTTTCTTCCCCTTTTCCTTTTCCTTTTCTTCTTTATTTAGAACCACGACTGATTTATTTATCTCTCTCTCCCTTTCAATATACATATTTTTAAGTTCATTCCACTAATTGTTTTATTTTCTTAGTTTAGGATGGAGTTAAGTGGTAGAGCAGTTCTAGGGTGTCTCACCACAGAACTGAACTTCGCCCCGTTAGATCACGGAACATTAATTTCATTTTTCATTTACTTTTAATTATTTAGTTTATTATCTATTTGAATGTTTATTTTATGTTTATTTCCTTCTGTACTTCCAGTAATCTAATAAATGTCACTTATTATTATTATTATATTTATACCAAGGTAGAAAAGTCTAGTATCATTACCTGAGCACCATGATTACATTCCGAAGCACTTGCGAAACTTCTCTACCATGGTATTTATATTATTTGTTTCACTATACTTGGTCCTCTAAGATTATATATCTACTGCATTGTTGAGAAAGTGAATGGTTTGTCAGAATTTGTTCTTGATTAATTTTACAATTACAATTGAAAAAAAAGGTTTATAATCATGTGATCATAGGCTAGTAGTGAAAAAAGAAATGTCAGTCGCTATTGTAGTGTGTATAGTCTAAATCTGAATCACGTCTTAAAATATTTTTTCTAAAAAGCTTCTACTTACATTGAGGTCGATGCGGGTACGGTGGCTGATGTGACATGTGCCCCCTATGGGGGTGTCCATGCCCAGGTGGGTGGTAATGGTAAGGGGCGAGGAACTGCTGGTTTGGTGGAAATCCTAATGGTGAATGCGGTCCGAGACCTGGTGGTTGTAAGCGCGATTTAAGCTCATCTGTAGACGCGTGACCACTGGAAGAACTATCGACATCGGAGACACCTGAATCCGCCGGACTCGGTGGCAGTGAGCCTAAAAAAAATTAAATTCGTTAGTAAGCCCTAAAATGATGTAGGCAAATAAATCAAAACTTTCAGTTGCGTTGCAAATAAAAATGCAAATCGACTTAAAAAAGTGACCACCAAAAACCCCAAGTTCTCACGTACTATCCTTTCACATCCTGCAAATCGCAATAATGCCGGCCATCAAACTATCCAACGGTCATCGTAGGTAACGACATAATCGGGAATCCTACAGCGACCCAAATCAAAAACGTAAAAATTAAAGGTGGATAAAGGGGTCGATAGTCTATGGGTCTACTGTAGATTGACCCTTTTATGACCCCGTCCTGTATAATAGATATGATTAATGGGCAGTGAGGTCAGCAGGTCACGCCGGACATTAAGGGATGAACCGGACATCGGCTCGCGGAATTAAAGCGACTCGGAAACAGGTTCGCGAGCACAAAAGAACGAGTTGCACATGCCAGGGGTGTGTTGTTTATTTACTGCCGGTTGAAGGGTGCAATGCATGCGTGACTAATGGGGCTGCTCCCGGGAACTGGACGACCGACACCTAAATTTATATTAATCCTCGGATATTAATGATAAAAACAGACGCATTAGACGGATCCAAGAAACCATACAGAGCACAATGCATTTGAGGGTACATGTGTGAAAAGTCGGCTTGTAGCTGGTTTAACGTATTAAACTAGCGATCACTATCCTTCAGGTAGAAGAAGCCACTTACTTTGACCATACGCATTATCATTACAAATGGTACTACAAAGGATCTCGTCTTAGATGGGGCTAGATTACTTATAAAACAGCCTAATTGTACAATGAGATGAACCACTCGAATCAAAATAATGTAATGAACACCTTTTAACAATTGCGAAAGCCGAAAGGGTGCGGAGGACCGTTGCTTTTACTTCCTTTTTCTTGGCTGATACAAATAATTGGTATCTACCGGTAAAATGCCAGAAAACGAGTTTACTACAGGAATTAGTGACCACTTATATACGTATACGACAAAAAGGAAGGGCTAAACCTGTCGGAACTTCTTCTATGTCAACTGGTCAGTATACCGTACTGACCATTATGTCCGGTCCCGAATTTAAAAAAGAACATTTTGAACTAGAACCCTCACTCACCTATTAAATCAGCTAGATAGTTAAATCGTTTAACATAATCCTCGTGTGGGAAAATACTAGGACGTTACTTGTTGGTCAAGCTTTTCTATACGGTCAGTACAGTATCAAGATTGACCACTTATTTACAAAAATTAAAATATAAACCTTTGAAATAGGATATCCGTCGGAAAAAAGGATTACAGCAACATTGTTCGTTAAATGTGTACGTATTTCAATTCGGCAAAGTGAATGTAATTTAAATCTTCATTGAGCAACGTTATGGAAGGGGAGAAAATATTTGGTAACAGAAACAATGGCACGATCATGATCGTCTAATGTAATTTTGGATGCACATTTCATTTGTACAAATTTATATTTAACCTGTGCAATGGAACGTAGGAGAAATAAATACTATTTGTTTCTCACGAATTGTAAGTAACCTATTACACTGTGTTCTTTGTACAAAGAACTTTGTAATTGCGAGTAAACAAAACTAAAAATAGCAAAATTGC